CCTATTTAGTTTTCAATGTATATGCCTCCCTTTCTAAACACTATGCAATACTAGGAATACAAGTCAGATATAGAAACTATATCCCCCACGCTATACACACTCAGTCAAACCCACACGCACCCACACATTTAAATAAAAATTGTTCGGACAAATACAAGAGCTATCAATGGCAGAAATAACATTATATTCCAGACCCTATTTAGTTTTCAATGTATATGCCTCCCTGTCTAAACACTAATACTAGGAATACATGTCAGATATAGAAACCATATCCCCCACGCTATACACACTCAGTCAAACCCACACGCACCCACACATTTAAATAAAAATTGTTCGACAAATACAAGAGCTATCAATGGCAGAAATAACATTATATTCTACACCGTATTTAGTTTCAATGTATATATGCCTCCCTTTCTTAACATTAAGCAATACTAGGAATACAAGTCAAATAGAAACTACGTCCTCCGTACGTGCTATACACACTCTGTCAAACCCACACGCACCCACACATTTAAATAAAAATTGTTCGACAAATACAAGAGCTATCTTAGGGAAATTGCAATGAGACAGATCCGCAAGATAGAATTTACATACATATGGACCGGGACCTCTCTGGCGGCGTCAAACAAATATTAGGACGACTCAAAACATATATGAAAGCGCTCTAACCTTTCGCTAGGGAACTTAGCAAGTTAACTTTCTACATTGTTAAGTGCCCTGGGGAATTTCCCCCAATAAAATGTGTATCTAACAAGGATACCCCTCGGGAATATGGACTAAGATGTCCAATTTGTTTGCTGAGTGGTTGAATAATTTACGGTGAAGAGAGTTCAAGCAGTCCAATCTCTGCACCCAGACTCGTTATTCATATGTGCTTAAGATTCATCTATCTATCTAGACTTAGACTTAAAGGCGCACAGTGCAGTTTTTAGGGCTTGGAAACCCGATTTTTCACTATATTCTTGTCATTTATCTACTCAGTTGAAACCACACTATTCCAATGTATATTGAACCTCCTGGAGTAAAAAATTCCCAAATTTTGACGGAAAATGGTTACTGGAAGGGCCCTGTGCTGATCTATCTATCTAGACTTAGACTTAAAGGCATCCAGTGCAGTTTTTATGGCTTGGTAACCCGATTTTTTTCACTATATTCTAGTCATTTATCTACATACTCAGTTGAAATCACACTATTTCAATGTATATTGAACTTCGTGGAGTAAAAATTCCCAAATTTTGACGGAAAATGGTTACTGGAAGGACCCTGGGCTGATCTATCTATCTAGACTTAGACTTA